CCCGGTTTCCCGGGGGAAGCCCCCGGGCTTCCAGGGGAGCCTGCAGCTCCGAAAAGGGCACAGAGACCTCCGGTGGTTCCGCGATATATCGCAGGCAACCTGCTGCCTGCAAGCTCCGGCCGGATGCTGCGGGATGCAGGGCCAGAGAATGCTGCCTGGGTCTGGAAGGGAGGTGGACTTCCCTTGCCCACCTGGCCCCCCGGGAGAGCTGGAACACTTCAGCGGGTGCCCCGTAATGTCCTGCAGCGCCCGGCAGGTGCTGTGCACAGAAAACCCCAGCTCCTGCACAACCACAGGTTCATGGTACCATAGGAAACGCAGACATACAGCAGAAGGCACAAAGGTGCCACAGTGGCTACCACACGCTGTCATACATGTGGACTTTCCCTCGAAAAAAACAAGCCTGGGATTGCTTCAGGCAACACAGCCATGCGTGTAAACTCTGAGAAATGGTACCCACAGCTCAGACAGCTACTTCTGGTTTACCTGAACATCACAGTGACACACAGCCTTGACCCCTTTGTGAGTAAATCCCATGCAGCCTCCAGCATTCACACAGTGCTCCTCACCCACACTCTGCAACACCATGATTCATTGCTGTATCTAATAACACAGCACACAAAGTCTGTCAGTCAGTCACCTCTACCCTGCTGCAATACAACATGACATTAGAATGTCATGGCAGGGGATGGTTAATAAGGTTATAGTCCCAAGGATTACCCTGTTGGACACATCTATGGCTGGCTGTACAGCTGCACCTTGATTAACAGCACGAACCCTTGGTACTCATCTCTAATAGTCATGCAGACTACTACAGCAGAGTTTCCTAACAAATCTGCTGTTGGGGACACTCCTTCCTTCTTTTTTATTAAGGGGGATAAAATAAGAATTTTTAAATCCTCCATATTTTATCACTCTAGCTGCAAATTTAAACTAAAATTAACTTAATTCTTAACAAAATCCACACCAAGCAGGCACCTAATGTGTCTTTAAGCATGATCTAAGTACACCCTGTCTTCAGGGTGACTTCTGCCTTAATGAGCAGATGTGGGCCTTACTTGACAGTACTTTTTAGATAATAAATACTGCAACTACAGGGAAACAGAATCAGGGTCTGTATGTGCTGCTTGTCCTCCACTGCCCAGTCTCACAGCAATCTCTGATTGCTGTAAAAGTAAGGAGCTGCAAGTGTCAGGACTGACTTCAGTCACTGGCTCTGTACTGGTTGGAACTCAGGGTCGTAAAATATTTAAACTTTTTTTTTTTTTTTTTTCCCAGTAGGATTGATGGAAAGACTAGTCTAAACTGCTACATCCTTTTAGCTGTTCTTTTAAGGGCAAAGTATACCTTAATCCACAAAGTTAGCAAAACTACCACTGCTCAAAAGACTTCTTTCACACTAGCACAAAAGGAATAAAAAGACAAAAGATCTCTCACCCACTCCCAGGAAAGATCAGACTAGAGTAGACCTATCCAAGGCCACGGTCTAAGGACTCTTAGATAACACTTAGTGCCATCCCTGGAGGAAGGAGACCCAAAGTATTTCTGTCACTCACAAGGTCCCTTACTCCTCCACAGACTACTGCTTTTGGTTCAAGCCCCCACCATTCCCTGCTGCTGTCTTTCACTCTCCCCAACATTTTTGACAACACAGAATGAGGAAAGTTTGTTCATAGAGTGTGCTTCTACAATTACACAGTAGTGTCTGACCACTTAGCCTAGTTTTTGCTTCTTACGTGACTCTTCTCTTAATACGTTTCCCTTTGCCGTAACAGAAATTAGCATCTTTCCAATGCTCCCTCCCCTCTCAATCAGTAACTAGTGCCCAAATAAAGGAAGAAGCCAACAGTCTCCAGTCCCGTGTATGTGGTGGGAGCAAAACCTCATCCCAGCTGAAGTAAGCAGCAAAACTCCTGCTGACCTCAAGAGAGAGGAAAAGGTACTCCCACAGACACACCTTTGACACCCACATCACACGCTGCATTTGGACAACTCGTCCATGTGCACAGGGTGTTATTGTTCCTAAAATTGCTGCTAACAAATCCAGGTACATCTGGAGCTGAACCAAGGTTAATCTGTAATAGGGAACTCCTCGAGGAACAGGTCCCAGAGGTGCAACAATACCAGCCTGCCTTTTATCAACATGAGTATCACCTACAAAAACATTTACTTTGTAAATTTGCAGTTTTCTAATTAACAGCATGTTTGGATGGCTCACTTCTCTCCAGCAGCTCACTCTGTTATGCTGGAAATTACTCTGTAGAAAAAATGCAGTGCTGAAAGAGGCAAAACTACACTCTGCAACAGTTCACAAAAGTTAACAGACACTGGTGAAAAATTAGCAGGCCCACAGAGAGCTCACCCACTGCTTTTACCTTTCCAGACGAGGGACTTCTGTGACATCTCCTCTGAAGAGCGTTTCACCTACATCCCTCAAGCCATTGGCCATGCCTTCTCCACAGCCCTTCACCTCCCCGTCGGGGGGAAGCTGCAGGACATCTGGCTGCCCCAGGACTGACGTCCGATCTAAAAACTGGCCGCCTTCCTTCATGCGCTGCTGGATCATGGGAGTGAGTGGCATCTCGAAGCTGAAGAAGCTATCAGGCTCCGAGTACAATGTCTCCAGCGACTCCGCACTGTAGTATAAAGATGCATTGTCTAGGATGTTTTCAAACTGTGAGCTGTACACATCAGTGGAGATGTCGGAGTGCCTCTGCGCAAGGACATCTTCATATCCTCCTGTGGCTGCTTCACCCTCCTCCATCATCCTAGAAATCAAGCAGAAACTGCTCATTTCAGCTCAGGGGCAAAGTTTAGACCTCTGGGTGAACCCTCCTTGCCTTCCACCTTTGAGAACAGAAGGGTGGATGAATGTGGATCTGTGCAGAAGAGGACACTGCAGGTAAAACCTAGTTTCTCCTTGCACCACCTCTGTTCTTGACTGACACTGTTTCCCTCTCTGGGGACATTAAAATTAACAATCTCCAGGGTTAAAGAGAGGGGCAGGGGGGGAAGTGAGCAAATCAGGATGCTCTTGTAAAAAGCTGTATTTGTTTTTGCAATATAGATTGAAAATTATATAAACAGTTAGATAGGTAACAAAGAAAGCACATGACAGTGTTTACTGTCTTATAACATACAAGGCCCTGGGTACAATGTCTTCATTATTGGACCTCTCAGTGATGTTCACACTGTTCTTGCATGAACTCTGCCCAAAACCAGAAAATCTGGCCAGGCGCACAGGGCCAGGCCTGAATGCTGCCTATAATTATATGCCATGTCTGCATCCAAACTACAGCTGCTACAGATGCTTAATCAAACAGCTATTACTCTGCAAACAGCAAGAGACATCTTTATGTTTCTAAACCTGAGACAGACTTCAAACTTCAACACGGTGGTGTGGATGGGGTTCAGTCCCAACTTCATGCAGTAGTCACCACCAAGCATGAACTGCTGCCATTGCCACCACGCCATAGGCAGCAGACAAGCATTCATATTCATTACTTTCTAAAGGGGTAGGCAGAAGCCATGAGCTTGGGACGAGAGAAACCCTACCCATCTCACTGCACCCCCCCAGGCACCATCTTACCTGCCCTGTCCTCCTGCTACCACAGCCATCTCCTCCTCACTGTGGTTTTCCTTGTCCTTCATAAAAACTTCATCCTCCTCGCTTTCATCTAGCAGCACCAGAGGAGTGGCTCCAGAGGCAGTGGGTCCTGGCCTTGAGTCCTCACAGACCTCGCTCCAAGCACTGTCTGGGGAGGAGACCAAGCCTGGGGAGACCACCAGTGGCACAGGATGGGTGGACGTTTTGGGGAACGCCTTCCTCTCCACAGCCACAGTCTCCAGCAGTGAGTTCTTCTTTCTTCTCTGCTCCTTGGCTCTTTGCAGCCATAAAATCTCCACCCCTTGAAATTCTACATGTTTGCTCACAGCTGCCTCTTTAGAGAGCCTCCTCTCAGGACCCATTTGCATTTTGCCTTGACTGTAAGCAGAAAACTCAAAATTTGCCCACCCCTCCACTCTGCTGGCTGCTTCCAGGTTTGTCACAGATGGTCTATGACAGCTTGTCTCCTGCGCTACGTGGACCTCCTCAGCTTCATTACTGATGGCTTGCAAGGACTCAGACTGCTTTTCTCCAGTCCATATTGCAGCCAGATCTTTCTCCACGATCAAATGCATTTTTTCCTCAGCTGTTCGTTCAGATGGAAGAGGCATGTCTGAGGGTTTTTCTTGGCCTGCTGGAACTGGTTCTCTGGCTGGCTGCACATTTTGCCTGCCAGTAATGCTCTTTTTTTCCATTTGTGTCTCTGAATCCAGAGAAGTATTTGCGCTCTCTTGCACCTTTGTTGCTTCCAGCTGTCGAGAGATTTTCATCATCTCTGGCAGGTTACCCACAGGTTGCAAACCTTCTTCTGGGGTGCACGGCTGCGCTGCCCCGGTGTCGGGTCTCAAATTGTCTGCAGGAGCCGCGTGCTGAGGAAAGGGCTGGGCAGGTATCCAGTGGTGACTGTCCCGCCTTTCCAGACTGTGTGTCACAGGCTGTGGCCTGTCTGCACTTGGCTCCACAGTCCCGTACTCTGGGAATTCATTGATGATGGTATGAGGGAGGAAAGTGCTGCTTCCACGGCCACTACCTGCAAGTTAAAAAAGAGAACGCGGGTTTATCTACCTGCCTGCATAGGCAGAAAGCTTGGCCACCCTTCCCAGCCCTCTCCTAAACAGAGTAACTACTCTCTATCCCCTGCAGGGAAAATACCGTTCGGTTTAACTCACTTCTGCACACTCTCACACGGCAGTGATCCAGCACTGGTCCTTTTACATAGGAGTTTTTGGGCAGCCCTACTCTGGGAGTGTGCGCTGCTGAGGAAGGAATGCCAGAAATGTCTGCTGCACTTCAGAAAGGGTCCCAGTGGCCCATGAACAGTCTGGGGCCACAGGCCAGCTGCAGAGGCTTAAGAAAGAAGATATTCTGAGATCTGACACCCATCTGCAGGATGTACCATACCTGTTGGTTTTATTTTAAAAATAAAAAAATAAAAAAATAATTTTTAAAAATGGCTTTAGGTAATTTTCACTTCTAGAGGTCAAACACTGGGAAGATAATCAGCCACACCCCATATATTCCACAGCCTTGACAAAAGCAATTAGCTAAATTACCAAGCAATTAATGAGCAATTCAACTTTCTGCCAAAACTACCCTCTTCCTTTAACAATTTAGGTAACTGAAGGTCTGGTTGCAGTGGTGTACCAAGCAGGTCACATCTTCTATGGCAGCAAATTCACTGCTGCATGAAAAGCTTCCTAACCCTCTCCTCCTCATGCTGCTTTCCAACTGATGTAAACAAAGCAGGAGCAAAAAAGGATGGTCCCATTTTCCAAGTGCTGAGCACTCAGTGGCTCCCATTGTTGGGGGTAACAGAGAACCAGCTGTCCCCAGAGGAACCTCATAGATGACACAACGATGGATACTTGGCAACGTTATATTAGGGCCCAAGGAAGAACTGAGCTTTTGAAAAAAAAACCAAAAAAAACCAAAAAAAAAAGCCAGCAACAGCTGTATTCACTGCAACCCTCTGAAAAAACCACAGCCCAGAGTATAAAACTGCTTTTAAAAAAAAAAAATTAAAAAAATGGAAGGCCAGATACAAACACCTACTCTGAAAAATGCCAGGAGTGACAGCTCTGAAACCAGACACCAACTTGCAGTTGGACACTTTGCCCCACTCAAGGTGCATCTCTAGATGCTGCGTTGCAAATTGATCCCCATCTCCACTCTTCAGCAGGCTTTCCCCAAGCCGTTTCTGAGGAGGAAGCCATGTGATTGTGGTTAACGACAGGCTGAGTTCAAGGTGAATGACAGGATAATTTAACACGAGCTCAGCACCACACTCATGTGTCTATCTATCTGCTGGTGGTTTAAGACGAGCAGCAGCTCACACCTGCCAGCTCACTACCCAGTATATCTAGCCACAAGGTAAATAAATATTGCACATCCTGTTGGTGCAGGATCAAAGTGGCAGATTTGGACCATGCTAAGACACAGTCTCTTCCCTCAGGGACTCCTGCATAGATATCTCCATGCTGTTCATTTAATCACTGCATAGCAAAACTTCAGTGGGTCAGGTTTCACAGAGATGACTTGGCTGCTGTTGAGGATAGTGACCTTTTCTCTGCTGCAGGGTCCCAGGGAGTTGTGAGGAGCACGGATGCCCTGTCCAGTTCTGCATCATCAGCCTGCCTTCACAGTAGTGTTTCCATCACACAGGTGTGGGTGTATTGCAAGAGTCTGAAGAAGAGAGAGAGGTCCCTCTCCTCATGTGAGGATTTCCAGGCATGGTGCTTTTTCTAAGTGCCTGAGGCCCCCAACAAACAGGCCCCTTTGCATACAACTCAGCCATACAGTGCTTGCCAATCCATGGCACAAACGCCAGGTTGCCACTGGAACACATTTCCAGCAGGACAGACTCAGGGATGAGAATGATGTTATGTGGCTACAACGTCCCAACACCTACACTGGGATCAGCCAAGCCAGCAAAAGGCCCCAGCTCCCCACCGTGCAGCCCTGGTTTGCTCTAACGCAGCTGCACTTCTGCTTGTTGCTCCCTCAGCATGTGGGAGCTTGAAAATTACATAATCACATAGAATTAAATTCTTGAGTTAAAAAAAAAAAAAAAAAAGACTTGGCAAGGCCTTACAGAACCATAGCATGGTCTGGATTGGAAGAGACCTCAAAGATCATCGAGTTCCAATCCCACTGGCATGGGCAGGGACACCTCTCCCTGGTCTAGGCTACTCAGAGCCCCAATTCTTCCGGGGGAGGGGCCATCCGTAACTTCTCTGGGCAACCTGTTCCAGTGTCTCAGCACCCTCAGAGTGAAGAATTTATTCCTAATGTCTAATCTAAATCTACCCTCTTCCAGTTTAAAGCCATTAACCCTTGTCCTGTTGCTACTTGCCCTCATAAAAAGCCCCTCCCCAGCTTTCCCGTAGGCCCCCTTCAGGAACTGGTAAGCCACTATAAGGTCTCCCTGGCGCCTCCTCCTCCTCTCTGGACTGAGTAACTCCAACTCTCTCAGCCTGTCTTCACAGGAGAGGTGCTCCAGCCCTTTGAGCATGGCCCTCTTCTGGACTCGCTCCAACAGCTTCATGTCCTTCTTGTGTTGCGGGCTCCAGGACTGAACGCAGGAGAGACCTGCTGGCCACGTTTCTTTTGATGGAGCCCAGGATATGGTTGGCTTTCTGTGCTGCAAGCACATGTTGCTGGCTCATGCTGGCAGCACCTGGCCGTGCCACCCCCTCAGCCACACACTCTGGCCACATCCTGAAGTTAGACAATGCATAGTGACTGAGGAGCTCAGACCCCCCCTACTTGCCTCCAACCCACGTACCCCACCTCATTGGAAGGAAGCCCAGAGCATTGCCCCTTCAGCCCCCCACAGTGCTGGGATGTAGCCAACATGCACTGGAGGCCAAGCCCTGACAAGGCACTGCACACAGACCCTGCCAAGAGGCCAGGCTTGTCTCAGCTAATTGCTATCTTAGCTTCTGAACCGACAGGGAGGGAAACAGAGGCGGCCTTATTTCTGTCAGTGAATGCTAAATGCACTGCTGCATATGACCATCTGCCAACGATGACTGCTGTGACAGCAGTAAGCAAACCCGAGCAAGTTTCTGATTTACTTCTCCTCCTGAACTTCATCCCAAGCAAACTTTACCCTCTGGCAAGCCCAGCAGACTCCAGAAGAGGTAGATGCACAGAGCACATATATGAATATATAGGCACAGAGAGAGGAGGGAGGATGTTTCACCTGGGCAAGTGAGATGCACTTTCACTGCAGAAATTTAAGGCTTCTTCTACAGTGAGTTCTCAGCAGCCCCACTCTGGAAGGACTGGAGCAACATTGCCTTATTCACTGCCTGATTAAAATATTCATATGTGGCACCAAAGCAGCAGTCTCTTCCCCATTACATTAGGTACCACCATGCACAGGACTGCCAAGGTCTCCTATCCTAGCAGTAAACCACCAGGGACCAGTTGTCCCTGGCTCCTAGAAGGTGCAAAGCCTTTCCCTTTGCTCAGAGAGCTATATCAGGTAGCAGAGCCTTGAGGAGCTTGAGCTCTTTAAGGGAAACTCCTCCCTTATTCCCATCCACCACCACAGCATCATGTCTTGCTGCAGCTACTAGCATATCCTGTCCAGCCCCATCCCCCAATATGACTGCATTAAAAACAAGGCTAGAAAGGCAACAACAAAATTTAAGGACTGCACTGAAGATGAGCAGGGAAAAAAATGCCCGTCACCAAACAAACAAAGAAAGGACACACACTCTCAGGTAACACAAATTTCTACTTTGCATTGAAGGTGGCTTCTTTCAGCAAAGCAAGAAAAAAAAATATTAAAAGGAGAGATAAGATATAAAATAGAAAGGGGGTAAGTGGCTAGAAAACTGATGCTGGGCAAATATAACCTAACAGCAGTTGGCAGCCTTTCTGATGACTAGACATTGTAAGAATTCATTACTTAAATCAGGCATAGATACGATATTTCATAGATAAATAACAATTCCATGGGAAGCAAGCTGGTCTAAATCATAATAAAAGGAAACTCTAAGAAGCAAAACACAAGTTACAAGCATAGACAGACATTTTGTTTAAAGGTACATTT